TTGGAATAATCATCAAAAAGAATGTTTTTGTTCCCATAAACACACTCCTACATCTTGTAGAAGGCTGTCCCAGAAGAGTTGAACTGTTGAATTTGGCATCTGTTTATATGAAAGAGGAGGCATCAGATACAGTCTGGTGACATGTAAACAAAGCTTAAACTCAGCTTTTTGGCCATCTGTTTTCCATTTTAGCACAGTGCGACCATACCGGCAGTTTCCTTCGGCATGTTGTCAGTCAGTTTGGATTTCCAAGGAAAAGTTAAAACTTTAAATCTAGTAGTAGCTAATATTAGCTAGTAGCTCATAGTCATGCACATCAGCAGTTACAATGCACATCAGGTTGCAGTTGAAGAAGATTAAAGGACATGTGACCATCTCACTCATTCAGCTTAAACGTGGGAGATTGCAGCTTCACTTGGGCTGATTCTTCCAAATATTCCAGCAGGAATTATGATGTCACTAGGAAAAACTGCTATCAGTTTCAAGTAGCATGTTATCTTCACTTAACCTGCTTATGTTGGCGTGTGTCAAGTAGCTGACTGACGCCTGCAAGCAGGAAGACGACTGCCTCGTGTGCATCTTTTCCTCCTCTCACCCTAAATAAATCGGTCACAGCAGATGCTAGAGGTTTTTTTTTGTTAAAAGGGAGTTTTTCCTTCCCACTGTCGCCAAGTACTTGCTCATGTCGTATGATTATTGGGGCTTTCTCTGTGTTATTGTAGGGTCTTTACCTTCAAATGGTGACTGCTGTTGTGATTTGGTGCTGTATAAATAAAATTGTATTGAAGCATGTTATAAAGTTTGCAGTTATACTTTCCCCTGCTATTCAACTGTAAATTCTAAATGTCTTTATTAAAAAAAAGGATCAAGCATGTATAATCTTTTTGCTCCTATTATTAAACCTTCATGCCATTTATGTTGTCCAGAGCTTTCGATTTGGTGCTGAGATCGCCTATGTGGGTGCCACCATCCTCAAAGTTTGCAAGGGAGTTAAGAAAATTCTTGTTGGAGGAAACCAGAAGGGTAAACTCTTCCTAAAAATGAAAAAATATGTGGTTTTTCAGAACCAGTTTCAGTTTTTTAAAGACTTGAGCATAATTGATTTTGACTGTTTTATTTATTCTGTAGGCGGGGTGTGTGACAATGCTGCAGACAGAGTCGTTGAGGCTGTGGGGGCAGGTGCATGCCAAAGCCGAGGGAAGACAGCCATCTTATCTAGGTGCAATTTCGGCGTGTTTAGTGAAGCCGTTCGACTTACAGATGCAAATCCCAGCTGCAGGCTCCACTTCATCGGCGTGAGTGTG